CCACACCCCCCGGGTGCCACCCCCTTTCACCCCGGGGTAACCCTTTTTTTTTTTTAACCCCGCCCCCAACTGGGCCCGACTCTGCGGCAACTGCCTGGACGAGTCCCTGCAGTTTTCAAGGCAAGGGGTTTCGGAAGTAGTTTGCTATTGTCTTCTTCCTAGAGCAGAGCCCAGCTGGCGAGTGCAGGAGGCAGGGTTTCCACTGCTTTGCGCCTTTTTCGGGCGCGCGCAGCTTCCACGTTACCGGCAACTGCTCCCGTCTCCTTTGCAAGGCGCCGCCAGCATTCTTCCTCCCACCGGGGTGAGAGTACCCATTTATCTACTCACGTAAGTTTTCGAGCTGCTGGGTTGGCAGGAGCTGGGGAGGAAGCAGGAGCTCGCTCTGCTGTGCAGAGCTGGGCTCAAACCGCTGAAGTGTCAACCATTTCTGGCCAGCAACTTTCAGCGTCATTAAGCCGCTGCGCCACCGTGTCCCCCGAGCTACACATATTCGCCTCTATTGGTACCACATATAAATTTACTAAAGCTTACACTTCTTTGAACCCTAGTAAAGTTAAAAGAGTTGGATATCAATGGGCTCCACTCAAAATGCTGGATGAGGCCAGTTCTCACAAAATAAATGAGAATAGTTAGTTTGGCAACTTTTTCTTTATACTGAAGCACTTCACTGGTTTCCAAAATATTCAACAGAGTTTGGTGAACATTCTATTAGGAAATTACAAGGGGAACTGGCAAAAATATACACCATCCCTTTTATTTGCAGAATCTTGACTTGTTCATACAACATGCAAAGCTATAAACAAGCAAACCAAATGTCTTAACCCAATGTATCAATCTAATCATAGTGGAGTTTTTTAATGATGGGTTATGCTTAGAGGGTTTATATAACAAAACATGGTAAAACTAACTGTGGCTTAATGAGCTGTGTTATCCCTACTCCCATTCTAACCTTTTAGCATCCATTACTGGAAATGTTACAAAAAGGTGAGATGATCACTAGCTCAAGCAATGAGTCAGTAGCTTCTCTCTCTCTCCCCCTCTCATTTCAAACCTTTTTGGGCAACTTCCCCAAAATCCTGTGAGGAATCACGAAAATATATTTTGGTTTAACTCAGATCTAATACTTACAAAATCATTATATATTGCTATGAAATAATGAGCATCAGAGTAAAAACCCTTCCAATGTATTTTATTATCAGTTCTAAAATGGATATATGGAATTCTTAAAATTATGAGGGCTTATTTCACTTCTCATGATTTTGAACTGTTTGAATATAAAAATCACACCCAAATCTACTCTTTAGATTAACAGTTGCTGTTGCTTAGAATTGTATTTTCAGTAGTTTTCAGTATTTTCAAGAACTGTTGTCTAAGCAACAGCAACTGTTAATCTAAAGAGTAGAGGTAGACATTTGTCAGATTCAGAATTACAGATGCTTGAAATACAATTTACTTATATTATTATGCAGATTAATGTTAATTTATAGGTACATAAGGTAACATACTAGCATTTCTTATCATAATTTAAAGAACTTACCCTGTCTGTCATTTTATTACTGATACCAAGAAGCATCAACATATTGTCACATTCAGTGACTCCCATAGCATAAAGATCGCTAAGAACATTGGCACATGCTATGCGTCCCTGAAAAAAGCAACACAAATAATTCTCACTGAACTGCTATTTTAATGCATAAGCTGCTTTCCAAGCCAACCTTAAAAAGAAACATGTCACATCAAGGAACTCGCCAATTGAAAATTGAGGTGGCAGATGGAAAAAGCAAGTGTAATGAATAAAAGAAAGTAACAGGAATGTTATTACTGTTGCATTTAGCTGTGTTGTATCTTGAGTAGACTAAGCACGACACCCATTTATTTATTTATTGGGATGCAAAACCGTTTTGACCATTAAAGCAATCTTGAACAGAACCAGCAAGAAAACCAACAAGCCTTGAAAAACAATATATACAAAAAATTAAAATATGATTCATTTTAAGTACATTGGTATAAAAAATGATCTAGTACAAAACCACCCTGGTAGCTCTGTTTCTTAGAAAGCTCAGAACAGCTGCTTTAAAGGCTTTCTCAGGTGGTGTGTAGGTTCATGCACATATGACATTTCTCCTGGCAAAGCAGCTGTATTAAGATTTCCAGGGATCACAACTGCCTCAAGGCCTCATGGAAGGGCACTTTGTTCACACTAATATCCTTTGCAAAACATCCTCTGAATATTTTGCACAGTCCTATTGCTTCACTGGCCTAGTCACAGACCAGATGTCCCCAACTGTCAGGACCAGTAGAGTGATTTGACATTTGAGAAAGTCATGGGTATTTAACAGAATGGCTGCATATAGGGAGAAGGTAGGACTTGCCCATTCCACACTGCTACAGTGAATGAGGACAGTGGCAAAACACCAATTTATCAGAAGGATTCATCTACAGAGTGGGCCAAATAATTTCTGGCTTAAACTTAAAGCAATACACAATAAATAATTAATGAGATGGTAGGTCTGGCCAAACAACACAGAAAAAGCATACACAAAATCCAACAAGGGGCTCCACCCACTCTAACCCAAGGCCTGGGAAAACCACCAGGTCTTCAAGGCCTTACAGAATGCCAACAGCGTGGGAACCACATGGATTTCAGGGGGATCTCATTCCAGAGGGCAGGTGTTGCAAAAGAGAAGGCATGATTCCTGAGTCCCGATAGGTGATTCTATTTAATTGAAAGGGCCCAGAGCACGTCCATTCTGTTGGCTCGTACTGGTCAGGCACAAACCATGGTAGAAAGGTGGTCCCTCAAATAATCTGGCCCTATGCCATATAAGGCTTTACAGGTGATAATTAATCCAAGCTTCTCTCTGTCCTATCTTATTCTAAGCAAAATCAAGGCAGGCTTGAGTTTCTTTCTCATGCCTTAATCTCTAGACTGTATTGTCTCTTCTCCAAGTCCCTCCCTAATGGCTTTCTCATAACTTCACCAAAGTCAAGTCTAAATTCCTTTACATATGTGCACTGACTAACTCTGTGTTCAAACTATAAAGTGTCCAATATATTGCATAATGTGTATTGCATTTGGGACAAACTCACAATCTATAAATACTATCTGATAATGTATACTTATATTTGCCTATCTTTCTAGAATTCAAACATTTGATAAAGAATGACAAGAATGCTCCCTTGTAAACCCATTAATATGTAGTAGGTAAGATGGTGTCATTTCTGTGTTTTAAAAGAAGTAGTATTAGTCTATAAACTATTATCTTCCAATGTTTGCAAGCAAACTGTTGGGACTGACAATCTTGTCATTTAACCTTCTATGATTTGATGGATTATTTTAAAAGTAAAAGGGGAAAAATGGGGAAAAACCCTAGTTACTATTCTATAAATGTACTTGCTATTTGTTAGCAAGGAGAGAAATAAGAGTTCCCTAATCGTGTAGGAGCTGATGGAAAACCCAGAACATACAAAGTTTCCACAGGTGATTTGCTCTAACTTCTGGCATAACCACCTAGAAAAACAACAATAATTTATCAGTGGGAAAGCCTACTGGCTAAGCATCACATTAGGGCCAGAGTGCCTTGGGTGTAAATCAGCATACAAGCATACAAGACTTTGTGCTGATTGAACACATTATTGTGAGAACAAAAGGAGAGGGGGGAAGCAAGAAAGGAGAAGTGCATATACATTGTACATGTGTCTTCAGTTCTTTGAGAAAAAAGTATGAACAAATATAATGAAGCAATGAAGCAAAATAAATTTATTATATATTTTTTATTCTTTACAATCCAATGGAATGTTGGAAAAAATACATAAAGGGGCTCAGCATTTTGTCTCCTGTCCATCAGCAGGATTGCTTTCTGAAAACAGAATGGGACCACATTTTGGGGGTGAGGGGTAGAAGCTGGTAAAGAAATGTTAAGTTAAAAATGGGCCAGATCAAGTTTGGAGCTTTCCGGAAAAAACTCCCCCAATGCATCCCTATGGAAGATCAACATTTCACTGTTTCAATCAGAAGGAAAAACAGAACTCTTCAGTTTGCACCTCAGCTTACATAGAGTAAATCTGTCCCCAGTATTGCATCAGTCTACCTATGCTTACCTGGATTCAGTAAGAACCACTACATTCAAGAGAGCTTACTACAGAATAAGTGTAGTGTTGTGTATTGATTTATGTTTGCAGAGACCACATTTCCAGTCTCTCTATATGAGTGTTAAGTGTATATGTGTGCAAGAGAGTTTTTCTATGTGCATATGAACACTAATTTTCCAAATAGGGCATATTATCAGATAGACAATTTTAACTAATGGTCATTAATTCAGTTAGTATCAACCGACATTTTGTCCTTGGCTTGCCCTCCTTAAAACTGTAGTCTCCATCCAGTGGACATATACCGATATGCATGCATATGCATATATGTCCCATACACATATTTATTGGGGATGGGAGTGGGTGAGAATCACCTAGTTTAGTCATAATTTGGTAACCATAGTCAGTAAGAGAAAACAGTTAAGTAGCAAACAGGATTTCTCTGAGTATTATCTTCCTTTGGGGCAAAATAGGACATTCTGATTTTTTAACTGTTTAAGTCTACCTATAGACTTAAAACTTTTTGCTCTGAATGTTTATATGAATATGATAGAATACTACTAAATTCCTTATATAAGGCAAGCACTTGTTTAGTTAAGAGAGTAGAAAGAATACAAATGTTCAAACCAAGATCAGTCTCTAGCTAGAAAAAATGTGATTTCTTCAAATGTCTGCTAGTTCCAGACAAAACTGAGAAAGACTGGACCAAAACCAGATAAAACCAAGTCTCTCCCCCATCCCCATCCCTCCAAAATTATTATTTGACAAAAAGTGACAAACTTTTTTATGCATCTTACCATCATATAAGGGTCATCCACAATGGGATAAATGTAGTCTGTTGTCTGGACCAAAGACAAACCTCCATGTCTTAAAGGAATAACACAAGTATCCATTCCAATTCCTGTAATACAGGACATCAGTAAAAGTAACTTGCTTTATTCTTCAGAACTGCGCTGTTCTTGTAATTTCCCTTGTATTACCACATATTCCTAGGGTAATTCAAACTGTACATAAACTGCAGCAACCCAAATGTGATTCTGAAAGCATGGAATGATAGTTCAATTTTTCTTTTCTCATGAACACTGCTATGTTCTTCAGCAGTGTCTTCAGCAGGACTCTTTGCAGAAAAGTCTAATGCACTAACAGATCTACTCCTTAGCCAAATTCTCTTGAAGAAGTTTTATTTGTTTCACCTGCAGCAACAGCCATACAAATATTTGTTAAATCACCCAATTGCTACACTACTAGGAGTACAGTTGTTTTTTCCATGATGAATTTAGCAGATGTGGAATCACCATGCAAACCTGTTTTACTTTCTATATTCAAAAAAGGAATGCAATGAATGTGTTTTGAAAATTATCAAAAAATTAGAACCTGCATCAAAACTCCTCTCTTGAGGGAAAATTATATAGTTAGGAAAAAATTAGATAGGTACATGATTTTTCCTTGGCTTTCAGATGGAATTCAAGGTATATCTTCCACTGACCTTATGATTAATCAGATCTCCAAGAGTAACACAAACATTACCAATATTTATACAGTACATTCTTAATTAGCAGCTAGTTTCAAGGATGGAAAATTGAAGAACAAAACTCTGTCCTCTCACAAAGCAGACTGTCAGGAAAAACCTGTGACACAGCCTCTGACCTTTCCACACATTTCTTTCACTTCTAAGGGACAACTAACACTGCCTGTAGTACAGTTCCCAGATTCTCACATGAAAATCAAGTTCTTTTCTACTTAAAAAAATTAAATTAAGTAGATAAACAGGTGGCAACATCTGTGTGTATGTGTATAATTTTAAATTGGGAAAGAGAACTTCAACTAAAGAACACATTTTTTAAACTGAGAAGAAACTGTACTTAGCAGAATCAACCTGAATTCACAACGAATGTATGGGTTCTATATTACATATGACTACTTTCAATTTCAATTTTTATAAATTCAAGGATGTATTTATCAATATGAAAAACTACTGAACATTCCTTGAACCAGTTCCCTTTATTTTAAGCACTACACATAATCAAGGACTATGCCAAAATCACTATGCTGTCCAGATTAGCTAGTGCTGAATCAAAAATATGTTGGTCCCTGCATAAATTGAGTATTTATAAAAGAATCAGGGCAGCCCTCACATTGAGATGAGACTATGATCTGTAAACATATGATACATCAACCTTACTAAAATTAAGCATATCTAGATCTTTTCAGTGCATGGGAGACTGCATGGAAATCAATGCATGTTCCCTTAAATTCCATGATAGACTTGGATTCCATGACTTGTCTATCTGTTTAAACTATTTCTTAAATTTATCTGAAAGGAACAAAGAATCCTTCAGTATTCCTTCACTTAGAAAAAATTATCAACTGACCTATAGTATTACCTTAACAATTTATGTACCTGACTTTTCTATGCTTGTCTCCAATGATTTGATATACCTGGAATGCTAAGATAAAAGCCAATATATGGTTTTGGTTTTTAATAACATTTGCCTTTTCACTTACATGCCTCCCAGACAGATACACAGAAATCAGAAAAACACAAAAATAATTAACATGGACTAAACTCACCATTAGCAGGATATAGGAAAAAAAGAAAAGACTCCCATTTTTACGACATTCAGCCAATGATAACTATATAATTATATAATGAAGTCCAGAGTTGGTTTTCACAAAACATTTTTTCTTAACAGCATTTCCATACATTTATATAATTAAGGCAACAACCTGGCATATAAAAGCTTTTTCTTATAAAATAAAAAGTCAGAGGTTTTTAAAATGTTATATAATCCAACAAAGTTTTCTATTACTATTTCAGCAGGTAACTAAATGGAGCTGCCTTATGCCTGAGTCAGACCACTAATCCTAGAGCAGTTTTGCTGATACTGAATGCCAGTGGTCCACTACGGTTTCAAATAGAAGATTTTTAAAGGCACTAATTACTTAATCCAGGAACTTCTGTTTCACTCCTCAATAATGTGCCACAAAGATCTAAGAAATGACTCTAACATGTAAAATATAAAACCAATAAAAATGTATTCTTACCCAATCTTGGCATAACAGCTCCCAAAAATTGTTCATCTTCTTGGAAATGATTTTCTTGTAAAGATTCAAGCAATTTCTGCAAAATGTCCTGAGGCACTTTACATCCAGTGCCTTTAAGTTCTGTGAATCGGGTTAACCGAAAACTTTTATCAAGTTCATAACTTTCTGGATTAAAGGACTCACGAACAGACATGATTCTCACACTGTAAGTAATGGCAGATTTTCTTCTTCTTTATGAAATAGGTTGGTTTGTTATCCTAGGTTATCAGTCTAGGTTTAAAAAAAATACAAACATATAGCATAAAATTCATCTATAATTTATGATAGTCACATATTTTGTATAAATATATTGTTAAGGTCCAACTATTTTTGCATAGAAAATACAAATTCTTTGCAAGATAGCCTATTAGATTTTATTTTATCTCCGTATTGTAGTGACAATACAGTGGAGTTAAATCCCAGTGAAACACGTAGAATCTTACTATATGTAATTACAAACTGATTTTTGTATATAATCCTTGTATTTGTAATATACTACATATTATTTAGAAATAAGAGGCCATATAAATCCTTTGAAAACAACTTAAAATTTATGCAAAATGCATAATGCCTATTCAAATAGTAATCATTTTTGTTTTCAGTCAGCCTGTGCTCACTTTGTAGATGTTAGTTCAGGCCAAACTATGATGCTTGAGCTGAATTTTTGAGACCACTCTAAATACAGACCAAGACACCAATTCAATTTAATTCAGTGCATAAATGTGGTATTAGTAGAATTTGATAGGGAAAAAAAGCAATGAAGACAGAAACAAATAAATTATTGATGGTCACATCAGGACAATTCAGAAGTCCTCTTATGAAACTGTTTTGTTGAAACATGGAAATAGCCTTGAAAAGGCTGAACTCTAGAGTTAAAGGTTCAAAACTTTGATAAGTCTTAAATAACACGGTTGTGCATTAGATATACCAGTGTTATTTAAGATCAGCTTTTCTAGCTAAAGCTGCAGTTGAGGAACCAGCCAAAAGCTGTTTTTTAAAACAAACAAACAAACAAACAAACAAACAAACATTACTGGTAACACTATGACTCCATGATAAGGACCACATCTGTGTACCTGGCTCTTTAGGGGGAATGCAGCCCTATCCAGAGTCAGATGCACTTCTCCATTCACATCGAGAGTTCCCCATCAATAACATTTTGGTCTTGCCTGGATTAAGCTTCAATCTGTTTGCCCTCATTCATCCCAGAACTTCAGTCATCTTTTCACCTTCCTGTTTAGGTTTTCCATTGTATTCTTGGAATTAGAGGAGAGACAAAGCTGCTTATAATTTGTATACTGATGGCATTTTAGAAATAATCTTCTGGATTATTTCTTCCAGCAGTTTAAAGGGGAGAAGAGGGACCCTAACCCTAACCCTGAAGTATCTCAAACATCTGATGAAGTTTCATTAAAAAAAGTTTCACATCTGATGATGTTTCATGAAAGCTTATGCCTTTTACTAAAATTTGTTAGTGGAAAAGATGCTACCAGGCTCCTGATTTGAAGCCTCTCAAAGAACAAGAGTTGGGAATAGAGATCTCCTCAGGATCCATCTTCTGAACTCTGCCCCAAGTTCCAATCCATAAATACAATCCAAAAAGATACTATGGATGACAGATAATATGAAAACCAACCAAAATATAATAGAGACCCAACTTGATACAATCATATCCATTTCTTGATCTATATCATCTACCAACATGACTAAATAATTTCTTACCCTAAACCCAGATAGGAAGACAAACTGGAATGGATCCAATTTGGAATGAATCTCAGAGAATCAATATTCCTCAAGACTGTCTGAAAATGACAGCTACAAAATGATCTAGACCTTAAAATCAAACAATGTAGCGGCTACACCCATCTCTTATTACTTGAAACTAGGCATTGAATATGAGCAATTTTGTAAAATATAACTGTAAGTGGCCAAACAATCCTTCAAAAGTGGAATGTTGACCCAATGGGTCAGCAATAAACCAGCCTTAACAACCTGGAAAATTTCTACTATCAGTCAATCTGCACATTAAATGGGGGCAGCAAAATAAACTTTTCTTGCCACAGTCCCAGTGACAATGTATGTCCTAACTGACTCTTTGGTTTGATTATATTAATCTCCAGCCCTTGTTTTAGCTATCAGCCTTGCTACTTCACTGTTCTCAATTCAATGAAATACTAAAAAGTTGCAGTAACTTTGTGATTTCATTGAGGAAGCTTAGGAAGGATAGTTTCCCTAACCTGCATCATCTTCCAGTTCCAGGGTCAACCCTCTCTTATAGGTTTGCATGACATATATTGGCCTACTTAAAATAAATTACACACCACAGTCACCAGAGTAAACTGAGGCTCAGACCTAACTTAGAATGACCAAGTTTTTGAAGTTGCACACATAATTTTAAAATACCTGCTTAAGCAGGCTGTATAAATGGGGCTTCTGAATTAGCAGCAGTATGTACATATTAGCTCAAATAACTAATTAGAATTTCCCGGAGATTCCACTGCCTGAAACTGATAAAATCTGATAAAAACACAATCCTACGAGAATCTTTTAATTAGCTAAATTAGGGAGGAAAAAATGTAAATTACCACTCTTCTAAACAGTATAAATTCATAGCAGTACCAGAGGAATTCTCAATAATCTAATTTCTAGCAGTTTGCATTTTATGAGGTTCAAGTGTTCTTTTTTTCAGATTTCAGAACACACCTATTTTAATTTGTCTGGATTCACTCTGCTATGATTCCAGCATAGCTCTAGAATATCTTTGTATTCTGTATTGGGCTCACAAATCATGGCACTTATGGTCTATTTAGCCATAGTTTATTTATAGATTTAAGACCATGGTTCATAAACCAAATATACACATGACACCATAAACAAACCATCCACATTATTGCTTCCTATGAAACTGTTACTATCCTCCAATCTTTTGTCTTTGTTAATCCATCACTTTATCTGCCTTGCTGGCTACTCAATGTGTTACCTAGACTCTCCAAGTCAGTACAAGAAATCAATGTGAAGTTTTCTAGATCTCTTACATTATTCCTTGTTATCCTTACCTACTGCTGTCTCTATTCTGGCTCCTAAACCCCATTTTCCATTCCCAAGGCACTTCTATCTTCCTTGATCAACTTGCCGCCTCATTATCTGAGAGAGACCCATTTGCCTTAAAGAACACTTCCTTCTCCGATAAACATCCAATGACCTCAGGGCTCTGGTTTGATAAAGCTATCAGTTGTTTTAGGAACACTTTATGGGTTGTAGGAAGAAAACACATCCTCTTTGTGAGGTTCAGGTTCTGAGGTAATCTGATGGTCAAGGACCCATAAGAAACTGGTATTTACCATCTCAACAAAAATTATTTAATATTTTCCAAATTATTTTTAGCCAAATTACCCAAAGAATGGTTTTTGTTTGGCCATTCCATCATCAAAAAAGGGACGTTGGGGCACATTTGGTACACTTTTCTGAAATATACTCAAAGATTAGATGCATTTGACCTCATTCTAATTTGGACCTAAAAAAAAATGAGTCTCTACTGCTGCCCTCTAAATGTTGCTGAACTGGACTCTAATAATATCTGGAAGGCTGTATGTACTTCACAGCCAGAGAGTACCTCTAGTCTTACCCAGACAGACCTCATGTGTAGTTCAATCCAACACCCTAGTCATTTCTGGATTAAGAGTTGGAAAAACTGCAGGACTACCCATGGCTGCACAGAATGGGAGTCATATGATCTTTGTTGCTGTTTTTTTTTTCATCCTCACTCAAGCAAGTGCTGAAACAGGGAGAGAAGGGGAAATGGGGAGAGGCCAGTGTTGATTTACCCCCTTTCCTAAATTGTACAAAAAAAGGGGGGGAACATGAGCTATCAGCTGCAAACATGGTTGAAACACCATTCAAAATGGCAATTTAACTGGGTCAGTCTTTAGTTCCTTCTTTTTTCTAACACTCAATTACCATATTATTGTAGATAGTTACATAGTTACCTGAGAATAGCCACAGACTGTCATGTGAACAGGGTTCATGGTTATTTTATTTCTTTCTCTTGCCCATCTTTTGTCTCAGGATAGTATGTTTTCTAATCCATAAATAACTAAAATACTAACCAATCCATTCTCTATTTTGTATGCAAATGACTGCCTCTCCATGCTTTGTGGGTGACCATAATTTACTCACAGTTTAACCATAGGTTATTCAATAAGCCACAACAAGCTATGTTCACACAACCCATTAAGCCTGGGATGGGCAACTTTCTTATGGTTAAAGGATGCAGTTAAGATGGAAAAACAAACAGAGC